CCAGAGCTGCTGGCTCAGAGCCAAAGGACATGGGAATGGAACCTGGAACAAAGGCCCAGAGCTTCCTTCAAACTGAACAGGTAGGGAAGCACTGGTTACGAGGTCCAACGGACGGGACCTATACCCCCAACACATAAAAGCACCTCACTGCTAGGAATAGGTCATGGCGCCGCTGGCTGCCGACGATGAGCCCTTCCCTCCTTTGGCCCCTCCATCTGTGACGGNNGACGGAGCTGACGGAGGTTTGGCATGCTCCTTGTTGATTGTGGCGATATGTTACATGACATCTGCATGTATCTGCATCTGCAGAAGTCCAACATGTAGATGCATCTGCAGACCATGCTGTGTGGAAGCTTTGGCAAGCTTCAATCGCAAACTGAAGCCGCAGACCCAGCTCCTCGACAGGAGGCTGCAGAAGAGCAAGCTGCGTTGAAAGAGGCCAAGTCCCTCAACGTTGTCCGCATCGGGGAGTTCTGCTAACATGTACTTGTAAGCCCCCTTCCCCCATAGACTCCTTCACAAAGGGTAAATCTGAGGCCCTGACGTCAGCAATTCCTCCGTTCGAACATAGAAGTAGCAATATATTATGTATGTGTGTGTATGTATATATATATATATAATATCTACATATTTTTTTCGAAATTGCGTAGTTGGTGGTACTCCGAGTCCTCTAGTGCGACAAAACTTTCATCCTGCTCATGTATAAGTTGCCCGGAGCTGTTCATGGCAACGATTTTCACATTGTAACATCATACTGCATTCATGGCAGCAGTGGCGACATCAGCATCAACAACCAAACATGCACCCACTAGTCAACAAGTGAGCATTGCAAAACTGACTTTCACAACCAAGGTCTTATCGGTCCTGGTCAGAAATCCTCGTTTACATTGCCGTGTTTGCCACCGTACTTTATCATGTTGCACTATATTCGCGGAGCAGCACCGGTACAAAGCAGCAACTGTAAAGAAGGCCGCAGCAGAGGCCGCGGAGCGTGGGGACCTCCAAGAGGCCGACGCAAGAAAAGCAGTTGAGGTGGTCGGGTTTGGGATTTTGGGGCTTTTGAGGTGTTCTGTTATTGTTTTAGGGTTGAATGATTGTGCTTTCAATGCTCTGCCATGAGTCAGCTACTTCCTACTGTCATTGGTGCCTCTCAGTGTCTGTTTTCTCTCTCGCAACTAGACACAACTGGCTACCGCATCAGATGATGTTTTTTTTTCACATTTTTGCGTGTTTTGTTAACTAAATAGTTTTTGGTTTCATGACTATGGGTTGTTTGTCTTATGAGTTTAGGATTGTTTAGGATTTCGGGACGGACCCTGGGTTACGATTGACGTCCTGAAATCGAAGCCAGACTTCCTCCCTGTGAAATCTTGGCGAGGCCGTGGAGAAAGCTTCGGCGGCCATCGCTTTGGGCCTGGGCGCTTGGATAACTGGAGTAGGCAATATCAACGGTTGATGGCTGCCACTATTGCTACTTCAGAATCCTGACCATCGTCCTAAACTAAGCTTAATGTTATCCGTCTTCATCGGTGATGAAAGCAATTGGTTCTGCCACGGGCACGGGTATGATCATTGGTTTTAGTTGGCATACTCGTGAGCGTTTGCTGTGGGACTCATCTGCCACGTAGACTCGACCAGTATTGCTGTTGCCTCTCGACAAGCCAGGAACTCTGTCACACCAAACTGGTCGATGCTGACCCAAAACAGACCTGACTGGCATTTCAAAACAGCCATGTCCTCCCAAAGAGCCAGGAGGCTTTGCAGCACATCATAGCTGAATTCTGGAAGGCTGTTTCGAACAAATCCCCCCCAACTTTTCCCTTTTCCCTAGGATGTGCGTCCTCGCTGATGTACTGCCGACGTGCCGAACTCCTCCTCAGGCGACGTGACATCTATTGTGTCCTGCATGGGTGCGTATTCTTCAATAGTTAGTACCTGTGCATCGGAATTATGAAGCATGTTGTGAATTGAATTCATAAATGGAAACAAGGTAAAGTAAATGGCCGCGACGAAGTGAAGTGAAACGAAGGAAAGTTGAGTAACGTAACGCAAGGAGAAGTGCGTGAGTAAGCAGGTAGGCCAGCAAGTAAGGAAGCAAGCAAGTATGTCTGTCAGTCTCTGTCTGTCTCTCTGTCTCTGTCTCTGTCTCTGGCCGTCTGTTCGTCCGTCCATCCGTCCGTCCGTCTGTCTGTCTGCCTGTATGCATGCATGGATCCATGAATGCACATATTCTTGCATGTATGACTGCCTGCATCGTGCCTGCCTGCCTGCAAGCCTGCCTGCCTGCCCGCCTGCATGCATGGATGTAGGTAGGGAGGGAGGGAGGGAGGGAGGGAGGGAGGTGGTCGGTGGGTGGGTGGGTGGATGGGTGGGTGGGTGGTAGGCAGGTAGGCAGGTAGGCAGGTAGGCAGGTCGGCAGATCGGCAGGTAAGCAGGTAGGTAGGTAGGTAGGTAGGTAGGTCGGTAGGTAGGTAGGTGGGTAGGGGTGTGTGTGTGTGTGCGCGCGTCTGTCTGTGTGTGTGTGTGTGTGTGGGGGCTGTTGTCTATAACCTTTTCGTGTCCATGTATGTGCATATACCTATACACTAGACAGATCGTAGTATACCCATCGCTATGAGTGCAGCTTCACACCATTGCATGGTTCTGACATGCGATAATTTGCTGGATTCCGGTGGCTTTCACTTTCACTCCGAAGTCTACCAGGTCATGCAGCCATCTCTGCTAACTCACTTTACCTAGGATCCTGGGCCGCTCGCCTAAGCTTCGGAGCCATGAGCCTTGGAGTCTGGAGCCTTCTCTTGGCTGTGAGTGCTTGGCCTTTCCCTTGCAATGGCCAAAGCTGCCTGTTGCAATACAAGTCCGACACGGAGACCACATACCAGACACACGAGGCGCAGATGAAACTTCCAGGCATTGGGATTTGATGAAGCAGCTGACATAGCCAGCGTCCCCTTCTTAGGCTGTAAGCTAAGTGCGCCACGGTCGCTGGTTCCTCGAAGCAGGTTGGCATGGAATTGGTCGTGCCGATTTACCAGTGGCCGGCACCACTGGCTGGTTCTATGTACGAACAAGTGGCAACGTCGTCGGCACGCACAACCACGATCATCAATCCAGGCAATGGACTAGCAAACCAATGCCAAGGTTCCTTACCTTTGGACCCCGTGTGGAGACCTGTAGTCACCCTGTTTGATGCAACCCGCTAGCACGCACGATTGGGTACGTGTACAGTCAGTGGGGCAGCCACTCTTTGGCCGTGGTCAAACAATCCATCGACAACTACTTCGCCTGCTTCAACGTCTCAGGGATCTTTGTAGACGAAACCGCTACAGATCCCAGCAAATGCAATGGCAATGATGCTTACTACGACCAACTCTACGCCTATGTGAAGAGCCAGGACCCTTCTGCTGAGGTCATGTGCAACCCCGGCACAGGTGGGAGTCTAAACAAATCAGGGACAGGGAGGGAGGAAAGCAGCCCCGACCCCTTTGTCCCTGAGACTTCAGGCTTCGACTATGGGTCTTGGAAGCACTGCTGCGATCGAGCAATGGTTGTCGAAGTGTCGCTGAGCTCCTTCACCAGTGGCTTCAAGGATCCCAGCCCTTTTACAGGCCCGACGCCGTACCCGCCTGGCTTTGCCGTGGTGCTTGCGCTTTTGTTTGCATTGCTTGCACGGCTTTGTCCTGCTGATTCGACTTCGGGTCAGAGAAAACGTAACCGTAAAACGGTCCGACGGAGAGACTTCTTTCACAGACTTGCGGCTGAAACTTCGGCTTTCGTGTAAGCATGTGTGGGGTTGGGTCCGCCCAGTCGAGAGTTTTTGCTGTTGCAGCAGAGGTCTATGGGGTGCCTGGAGTGGCGGAGATGCAGCAAGTGGTACGCCGGGCAGCATGCAGCAATTTCACAGATGCAGACGGGATATGGGTATTGGAAGAGGGCGGCAATGGAGTTCTGCCAGGATACACGACGATGCCGAGCTATTTTGCACAGCAGGTGGACTTCGTAAAGACGGCGATAGCGCCAGAGTGCCCACCGCCTCCCGCCCCACCAGTTTACACCCAAGCCCCCACCGGGGGGAGTTGTTGGTTCAATCCCAATGACCTCAACTGCGAGATTTGTTACCCGGGCTACAACCAGTGCTCTTGGCAGGGATGTTCCTAGGCTCTGTGCAGTTTGCTTGTGGGGGTTCTTTTTTTTTTTCGGTTCCCCTTCCTCCATAGATTGCTTGGGACGCATGAGTAGCTCCATTCCGTTTCGTCAGAAATCCTGGGGTGGTCCATGTGTGTCTGCATGAGTGTAAAGCACAAATCTTGTGTCGCGTGCCAGGTTACAAACACCAGTGCTCTCCAAGCGGTGGAAGTGCTTGCACAAACAGTTGTTCGAGTACCTGAGCGTGCGATAGCATCCAAATGCAGGTTCCCGTTAAAGCCTGCCGGTGACAGCAGGTTTCCGCACGCTCTGACGTCTAAATGGGCTGCCTGCAAAAGTCTACAGAGCTGGTCACACCAGCTCGACTTTCTGCTTCAACAGTCGAGCCGTCGGTCTTCTTGTGCGATCTAGCCTGATCATGTTTAAGTCTGAAGCATTGAACGTGGAACCCATCTCGAATCTAGTCTTAGACTCTTAGACTCTACAAACCAACCCTAAAACCCCAAACCCTAAACCCTAAACCCTAAAGCAACCCCAAACCCTAAAGCCCAAACCCCGGAACCCCAAACCCTAAAGCCTAAACCCCGGAACCCCAAACAACCCCGGTACTGGACGCCAAGCTTCCAGCTCCCGGAGCTTCCCCCGGACCAAGCACAGAAATGGGAGCCGGAAGTCGTCGTAATCTCTTCCCCCCGAATAGTAAACCGCCACCCCCCTAACAATAGCAACTAATGATACTAATAACAATAATAATAATTATAATTATTAGTAGCACAAAAAAACTGATTTCCGGTGGTTTGGTTTTTATATCAGGGTGGGTTTCGGCGCATTCGGGTATGAGTCGGATTGACAGGAATAGTGAGCCAGACACAAGACCGTCCATCACGCAGCGGTTCCGGCTGTAGCCGACAGTCCGCCCTAGAGCCCTAAGCCCTGAGCCCTAAACCTTAAAGCCCTAAGCCCTAAACCTTGAGCCCTAACCCTGAGCCCTAAACCTTAAGCCCCAAGCCCTTAAGCCCTAAAGCTCTGGTCCTTTCGGTGATTAGTGCTGCTGTAGTCTTGGCTTTATTACAACCAATGCAATCCTAGGCCCCCCCTAATGTTTCTAATTAACTTTCAATTGTGGGCCCGAAACCGCGAAATCCCGGGGCCGGGATGGTTTTAACATTAGGGTGGTTAATGTTAGGGGGGAAGCTATTAGTCAGTTTAGGGTTTCGGGTTTTGGGGTTTTGGGTTTGGGGNNGTTTGGGGTTTTAAGGGTTTAGGGTCTGTTCCTTCCATCCATAGTAGGCCATTCCCCAAAGAATTTTCGAAGAGTTTTGGTGCCAGCTCCAAGTCCCAGCTACCTGAAGTTCCCAACTTTTCGATCCTAAGCTTGGGCCCTAAACCCTAAACCCTAAACCCTAAACCCAAAGCCCTGGAAGAAGCATTCTGCTAGGACCCAGCGGCCGCGTGCAGCCCTGCGGGATTGCGATGCCGCGCTTGCGGTGAACCCGGACTCGGGGAAG